AAAAAAAAAAAAAAAGATTTCTGGCATTATTTAACTTTTTAAATACATGTCTTCATTTGACTTAAAAATTCATGAAAATATGAATGAACAGCTTCAAAGCTTTTATTTACCAATATATGAAGAGAAAAGGTAAGTTCATTGAGTTGCACCTGCAAGCTACCTGTCCAAGAGGCTGGGATGGCTGTGATCAGACCCACTGTCTGTACCAGTCACGGGGCCTTTATATCTGAACACTGATGGCCAAGCTGTAACTTGAGTGCTGTGGATCCTGCTTGCAGCAGTTCCCAGAAATGAGCCTGACTCAGGGACAGGTAAAGGCAGGCTCAAATCTGTCCACCACCTGCCAGGGGCCAAGTGTGGCTGAAGGAGGGGACACAAGCCCAGAGCAATCCTCCTGCACCCTCAGTTCCAGACAGGGCCCTACAATAGCTCACGTACTATCAGGCCATGAGCACAGCCCCAATCTCCAAGACAAACCCTCCCCTGCACCTCAAAGCGCCAGGAAGAAACTCTTCCCCCTCCAGATGAGTGAAGACTATAAAGCAATGTGGCTGCTTTTCCAGACAGCTCAGCCCTGCCCCAGCCCACAGGCACAAGGCCTGGCATGGGAGCAAAAGAGACCATTTCCAGACACACCTTACTCTGTATGGTGAACTCCTAGACAATGCGCTTCTGGAGTAGCCACTAAACAAATGAGCAACACGATTCCCTAAAGTACCAAGTTAAATGGAAGACAGAGCCCATAATTCAGTGCCCTTAGCACACTCTGTAATAACATCTAATTCTGCCTTGCAAGACACACACAAGACAGCAAACACAGCCTCTAAGAATCGACAGTACAGGCTTAGGGTCCCTTATCGGAAAGGCTTGGGACCTGATATTTCAGATTTCAAATTTCTTTGAATTCTTTAGAATTCAGAATATTTGTTTTATATTTACCAGTTGAGCAGGCAAAACTTGAAAATCCAAAACCTGAAAAGCACCAATGAGCATTCCTTTCAGGGCCAGGCTGCTGTGCAGCGAGGTTCCGACTGCAGCACTCCGATCTGGGAGTTTGGATTAGGGGTGCTCAGCCTGGGCAAAGCTATGCTTGTCACCAGGTACTCCTACCCGACCTCTCTGCCCTCACACCCCTTATTTCCTGCAGTGGTCTGTCAGCAACTTCCCTCTGCTTGCTCTCAGGACTGATTCGACTGCTTGAGGAGGACAGGGAAATGAGAACACATGGGTTAAGGTGCACCCTCCCTCAGGAGTGCACACTGTCTTCTCCACATCACAACCAGCCAGGTTTTCTGTGCTGGTCACACAAGCAAGGACCAGGATTGACATTGGTGAAACAGATGCAGGCATGACAGAACACTCCTGATAACCACATCTACTGTTGACTACGGCCAGCCAGGATGGAGAACTCCTGGTAACCATATCTACTGTGAACTATGGCCAGCCACAACAGAGAATCCCTGATAACCACGTGCACTGTAACTATGGCAGACGTGTGGTATGCAAATAACCAGTACAGAGAACACTTCCTTTAAACTAAGTGTCAACTTCCACTGATAAAGATCTCTAATTGCAAACTTTGAAACTTACCTTTTCTTCTGCTGAGACCTCAGCCATCTTAGGAAGTGGCTCCGGAGCACGCTTTTTTATCAATAACAGGACATCTAGAAAAAATAACATTTATGTCTATCATGCTGGCTATCATTTCATGTCTATAGACAACATAAACTGTCCCGGATGACGTGAGTTCCAGATGTTCCCTCTGGTCCCCCAAGTGTCCACACCAGCCGACCCTGGCTGAGGCGTAAGTCCCTGGGCCTAGCTTGAACCCACAGGTGGCCAGTGGCCCAGGAGCTTGCCCAGCACAACCCCAACAACCACACAGAGCTGGTGAAGGTGGGAGGGTCTCTCTCAAAACATTTTCACTTTAATGGGCTCAGTTTTGAAAATCCATGAGGTTGGGGAGCTTGGTCTTAATTCTCCAAACTAAAAGTCTGAGGTGTGGCTCATACACAACCCACTTAGATTTGAACTTGATGACCACAAGCAATGGAAGTACGTCAGCTGTACTTCTAGTATTTTCAAAATGAATTCACTTAAAGGAACTCCAGAATGAAATGTAGAAAACCGAAGCTTCTGGCCCATGTGCCTCCAGACACAATCAGACATGGACACCTCACTAACGTGCCCAACGCAGTCATCACAATGACCACTTCCAACCAAAAATAAAACCTGCCAAAGCTCTGCAGTCTCTGGTTTTGCTTTGAAACAGAACAAAAATTAAATTCACATTTGACTGCTCAGATGTCTGTTGCTTGTTCCATTTCAGTATCTGTTTTTACAAATCTTCCACAGCACACACTTTTTGTTAATAAAGGAAAAATGGAACCATTTAGTGGAAGCTGGTTTGTTTGCTCGTGTCCCCTCAGAGCCCTGACCCTGGGGGCCAGACTGGCACCCTAGCAGCAGCTCACCTCTGTCCTGGATGCTCTCTTCCGAGACTGTTTTAGTGTCACTCAGCACCCTCTCTGAAGCAGCATGAATTAACTTGTGATGGCTTACACTTTTGGGGTCTTCTAAGCTCCCATGAGCACACTAGGGGAAAGAAATCATATATTTCAAGGTAGAAAGTAAATCATACTAAGCCACACCTGGAATGTACAGGTTTTCCTTACTAGCTAACAAATTAAAGCAGAGATAAAATTAAAGAATCCCATTAATGGTGGAAGCCACATGAAATACCACAATACTGGATACTAAGGCCAGTGATCTTGTCACCAAGCCACTAACTGCTTTTGAAAGAGGCTCAGGGCTTTGACATACAATACCCTAGTGATAATTAACAGCAACCCTAATCACTTTAGTCTGGAAAGATCTAGAAAGTAATTTTTAAATGAAAACAACAGGTCCATTGTTTCCTGCTGACCTAAGATCTGTTTTGTGCACTGGTTTTTCTCTCTTCCACAGACACATGAGAGAGGGCTAAAGAGACAGCAAAGACTGGTTCAGAGAGTGAGAAGCTGGGTCCTAACCACCAAGCACCCACCATTCCTCGAGAAGGGCACTTAGTGTGCCTGATCCCAGCTTTGCCCCCAGCTCACTCAGCAACACTGCGCTACCTATGCAGTGTGTCGGTCCCTCCTGAGGCAGATCTAAAGGGAAGAATGGGCACACAGTTGTGTCCAAGTCCCCAGGAACCTGGAAGCCCCATAACACCTCGGAGGGGGAGGACACTGAAGTCCCACAAGGTAAGGTGGGCACCCCTCGCCCCCCCCCCCACAGTACTCACCAATGACCTGAGAAGTCACCTCAATGGCTGTTGACTGCAAACTCTAGGCAAAGGCATTGTGAGGTCCCTTCCAATCCTGGAATTTTATTCTAAAGAGCTCACAGCAAGTCGCTGGCAGGAGGCCTGGCAGACATTGCTCACTTCAACCAGGCTGCTCTCTACACAACAGCGCACAGTTGTCATCGCTGCCTCGTGGAAGTTCTGCTTTCGTTGGGACACAGGCCATCAGATCACCACAAAGGCTCACCGCTTTGTGAAGCCTGAGCAAAACTGGCAGTCCCATGCGATAAAGACACAGGTAAGCTTGGGTACCTGAACGTGGGCATGCAGACACATCCACCAGACTGTCACCCTGCTATCTGCTCCAAACCACATGGCCCCACACACCACACCACACCATGTCAGATAGCAGTGCTCAGCTAATCAGCTACAGCCTCTCCCCATGAGCCAGAATCTCGGGGTGAAGTAAAAGGTGTTACACTTGTATATTTCAGAAAATGTCCACAGATGTGTCTACAGTTCATCTGAAAACCTTCAAAACTCAGAACTAGTGGGAAGGAGATGGCTGTTTTCTTGCTCTTACTATGTCTCTGAGGGTAGAAGGTAGAATTATTTGATGGCTGCAGTAACATTCCTGGACAGGCTGGCCCCCAGACACTCAGCATGCCAGACAACCTTGGAGGCTGCCCCCAGACGAATCAGGTAGCTGGGTGCAGACCCCCTGCTCACCACCTCCCTCTGCTACTAGGGAGACATCCAGTACACATAACTGCTTACCAAAAAAGAAGAAAAAAATCTAGGCACATGCTTCACCTCTCAACACTGGCATTTTAAGAGTAACTGGAATTTTCCATTGCTTTCAAGACTGAAAACAACTCTGAAAAAAGGATCACGGAGGCTTTGGGAGTTGTCATTCCTTAACATAAAACCAGCAAGGCTGACAGGCAGGAGGTGGAATCCAGTAAGAGACACTCCTGCCATTTATAACAAAGCAGAGAAGTCAACCTGTGAATATGACAAGGTTCTGCTCCCAGGAGTACTGGAGTACTGGGTTTGCCTTGCCATAACTCTAAAACTTGCTGGCTAGTAGATTCGTCAAGTTCAGAATACAGAATACAGTCTATGAAACACAGTTTTCCAACAAACTGCTCTGTACCGTGTGAACATCAGGAAGGAGACACCCACAGGCATAAGTCACCCACACTGCCCAAGATGATCTCATCCTGTGTCTTTGCTCTCAGTAGAAGCTGGGGTCCAGCCATGAAAAAACTCCAATAAAGGCCATCACCAGGTAGGGAAGTGCTCACCCCCTATGGCACCTCACTTCCTCTCCAGAAGAGCATTGATTTTCTGCTGACACTTGACATAAACTGTCATTGGACGCACTGATCACCTCCAGGTCATCTAAGCAATTTTAACAACCTCAACAGCAAGCACTGTGTTCTGCTCCAGCAACATCACGACTGTTTACTGCACACATGCCAATTCCAACACACCTCGGCTGTAATTTCTTTAAAATCACTAACCACTCCTCTTCCAGGCAATGGGCACTAGAGACCACCAGAGTCATCCCAATTTGCATAAAACCAAAAAGGGAAAGGCAATAATGGCATTTCTCCCAAGTTAAAAGAAAAAGAGCCCACATCGTCCCCCACCTCCCCTGCCAAGGTAGAGGGGAAAGAGAGAAAAAAATAATGTCTGCACACCCCAGGGGGCAGGGAAGGAGCTCAGCTGAGACACACAGCGGGCTCCCTGCCCCCAGCACTATGACACCCAGTACACAACTTGAGAATTCCCTTTCTAACGAAGGCATTCTGCCTGCAGAACAGGATAGGGCATGCAGGGGGAGGCCTATAAGGCATGCCAGCCTCTAACAGTCAGATTCTCCGCACCTGGAGAGACCACAGACTGGAATAAAATCTCAATTTAAAGTAAGATAATGACCAAAAAACCCCAAATGATACACCTCAGTACCAAATGGAATAATATCAGGAAGATGATAATTAGCACCATATTGAAACTGGCTGCCTAATTAACCCCAAGTGCTCCTGGAATTCATTAGTAGGCATCTGTAGACCAAATAGTTCCCATTCCTCATTCACCTTCATAAAACAGTAATACTGTGAGCTGAGCTAAATGCCCTGCCACTGCAGGGAGCAGCCCATGATGATGCCATTTGGGGCTGACAAGCGATTTTCATTTATTTCATTAATCCTCACGTTTGTTTTGGTGGTACTCTACGCCTGTCCCTGGTCTTGTGAACACAAACCAAGCCCTTGAGGAACTTCTATACGGGATGGAGGAAGACAAAGCACCTTGCGAAGGTTTTAATTAAAAAACACACAGGACTAGACAAGCAGCAATGCCTGGCTTTAACAGCATGCCCACAGAGTCCCCAGGTTTTCAGCTTAGTGCTGTCCTGGTGGTTTTCTAGATGTTAAAACCACATAGGCTGGGCCCGAAGACAAACAAGAAAGCAGCCAAACACAATGCCCTTGAACATGTGTACCTGGAGGCCCCCCCCACATGAATCACTGAGGCCAAGATCTCAGGGTTATTCACACCCTGTGTGTTTCAGGAGGCTCGCCATGCCTGCCTCTGACAGTTACAGAACAACTGCACAGAACCATACTGAGGAAAGTAAGTCAAAGGTGCTTCTGTGACACCTGTTACCATAATAACTGGAAGTTTATCTTCAGAGACAACAGTCAGCTACATTCTAACACATCCAACCCCTCAACAAAAAGCTGCAGTCTCTTTTAACTTAATTAAATTCTGGCAAGGAACACCACATCATGTCAGGTAGAGTTTCCTTAGGCTGCCAGAGTCACGGCAAACAGATGTCTCTTAGCTGACCTTACAAATTGAGTTTAAAGAGATGGACACCTCAAAAACTAATTCTACAAAATGCAACCTAAAGAAGTAACTATACAGGGAATATTTCATATGAAATAACTTTGAAAGGCATCTCAGCAAAGAGTCCTTTCTCCTGGACCTTCTCACTTAATTTTACCTCTGCAAGAAAGTAGCAACACTGACACTTGCCCTGCAATGGGGCTATTTTAAGAGACTCCAGCTAAGAGGCACAAGTGGCCACAGCCAAGCCCTGGCCCGCACACTAGCCAGCAGGAAACAATGACCTGTTCTGCAGGGAAGGGGAAGGGACTCCTTCATGAGGGAACCTGTATTAATTCTCAGCTCTTGGAGGAGCTGCCAAAAAATAAAAACCTCACCCCATAACAAATAAGCACAAATGGTGAAGACCCACGACGCCCTGCTCCCGTTGGCTACTGCACCTCTCCCAGGCAGTTTCTCTACCTGTCCCTCACCTCTCAGAGTAGTGGTACAATTAAATGAGAGGCTAGCACCGGTAAGTGGTTAATAAACGGCGTCCGCCTCCACCCCACTCCCACTCCAGCGGGCTCGGTAAAAACAGGGGTAGGAGGCACTGCTTCCACCCGCGAAGAGAGGGCCTGGGAGCCGCGGGCCGGGTAGCAGGTCGAGCAGGGGTCCAGGATTGAGGCGAGGGTCCGCCGTGAAGGCAGGAGTCGCGGTCGGAGCGGGAACAGGCGGGGTGCAGGGTAGAGAAGGGGCCCAGGGCCGGGCGGAGTCCCGGCGGGAGTCGCGGGGGCCCGGCCTTACGTGCTTGAGGCAACGCTCCTTGAGTTTCTCCACCGAGGTGTCCTCGGTCGCCTCCTCCACCCACTCGGTACCGTCGGCCGAGCAGATGTGGAGCCGGAGCACCTTGCCCGCGAATATCTTCTCCTCCTGCACGAACATCGCGCCGCCGCCGC